GTCCTAAATGAGTGATTTTGGCCCGTAAATTTGAAGGTTTTTGTTTCATTTAGGGGGCAGGAAGCTGCATCTGACCCCACGAGGTCCGACTCCACATACGGCACGACTTGTTGGACATTATTTTTATTCAATTAAATGTAATCAGATTACCTCCAAGTGCCTGAGCGCACGTCATTAAACCCTAACCCGGATCTGAGAGAGGCGTCCACTGGAATTCAACCCACAGAATTGCTTCCAACATTAAAAAAGCAAGTTAAATTATGCTAAATTAAACGGAAAATCTGACCCCAGACCAGCTCTGAGGCCGATATCCAAACAGGTCAAACAACACGACGGCATCAGATAATCCAGGTCAAAGGTTCTGGTCCCAAAAACCCAGATTCTGTTCGTATAGAGACCTCGAACACGAGCAAAACGGAGGAGAGAGAGAGTCCACATCTGGCTTTGAGGGTCGAACACATCTGGACCAAACTGGGATTCAGGAGGAGGGAAAAGGAAGGAGGCTCTCCCCCAAAACCGATTCATTTTTAAACAATTCCACGTCCTAATAAGCTGCATAAACAAAAGGGTTATTAGAGTAAAAGGCTTCACATTTACAGCCATGAACATAATGGAGCGACAACACCAGCTTAAATACATTTAGCATTAAAAAATCTGGTGAATAGAAACAACCTTAAAGGCTTCAGGTTAGTAATCAGACAGAAATCAGAAACATTTCGGAGCAATGAGCAAAAAAAAGAGCAAACCCTGAAAGAGAAAAGTGAGTTAGAGATAAAAGCATTTCCTGTCGATGGAAAACCAGGTCACACACAGACGGAGCCTCACCTTAAACCAGGGGTGTCAAACTCAAAAACACAGGGGGCCAAAATTTAAAACCTGAACAAAGATTTAACAAATGAATCTTTTAATATGGAACAAAACAAATTTAGCTTTAACATTGAATATGGAACAAGCAACTCTTATTACATTATATATAACTTAATAGTGGAGACATGCTAAATCAAATAATCAAATATCAGAATTAAATTTTCTTGTCCAGAAAGCTCCTGTTTTCTGCCTTTCTTTGGTCATTTTTGGGAAGTTTATTACAGTGACATCTGTAGTGTGTAGCTACTGTCACAGAGGAGTTTCTGGGTCCTGTCCTGAACAGCAGCAAGGCATTATGGGAGTTGTAGTACGAGCCTGTGAGCCAGAGTTTGACACCCCTGCTGTAAATTTTTGTCCTATTTTTAATCTAGTTCCTATCTATATGACTTTATGATGCATATTCCAGGTTTTACCCAGCGTCACGACAACAGCAGGGCATTATGGGAGTTGTAGTATGAGCTGTACAGTATAATACTGGGGGCCGGCTCTCGTAGCTATTTGATATTTGGCCAGAGTTTGACACCCCTGCTGTAAATTTTTGTCCTATTTTTAATCTAGTTCTTATCTATATGACTTTATGATGCATATTCCAGGTTTTATCCAGCGTCACGACAACAGCAGGGCATTATGGGAGTTGTATGAACCCCTAATGGTCTGTACAGTATAAAACCGGGGGCCAGCTCTCGTAGTCATCTGGTATTTGGCCAGAGTTTGACACCCCTGCTGTAAATTTTACTTGTACAGTCCTATTTTTAATATAGTTCTTATCTATATGACTTTATGATGCATTTTCCAGATTTTATCCAGCATCACGACAACAGCAGGGCATTATGGGAGTTTTAGTTTGACACCCCTGCTGTAAATTTTACTTGTACTGTCCTATTTCTAATCTAGTTCCTATCCA